GATTAAAATAGGAAAGCAAGAGGGTATGTCACACATGAGCAGTGACTCTGCCCAACAGTAAAATGTGGCCTGCCATCTATTTCAGAGACTTAAGTATACATTAGGAGGAAAGACTACTCCCAGTAATATATATTTAATAAAATACGCGTTTGGTTACTTTTAAATCTAATGTGCATAATTCTCTATCATGGCGGATGGTAAAAATTCCATTAGATTATACCAGACTCTTTTTGTATTTTAGTTTTATAGCTTTATTTCACACATTATCATGAATATCTATCTTACATACTCTCAGAAATAATGTTCTGTTATTCAATTAAATTAAATAAATATCTTCAAAAAATAAGATAAAATAGGAAACTACTTTCATTGTGTTATTTTATAGACTCAGCTTCACATATGTGTTGTATATTAATTCCCTCAAGTGTAACATTCCTCCATATTTGTGCAGAACCTTGTACATTAGAAATGTGTCTGTTTTAATGACTCTCACAATATCTCTAGGATTTATTATCTTCATTTTACAAATGAGAAAAACAAAGGTCCAGAAAGCACAGCAGAGAAAGAGAAGCAGTGTAGTATGAAGATAAGACCTCTGGCCTAAAAGTCAGGAGACCTGGGTTTTTATAACTCCTAACTTTGTTTCTAACTCACTATGTGGTTATGATTAAGTCACTTCCCCTCTCTGAGCTTCAGTATCTGCATTTGTAGAATGAAGTGATTAGGCTTTCTCAACCCTGTTTGCATATTATAATCATCCAGGAAATTAAAAAAAATCCATTCTTCAGCCCTACCTCCAAAGATTTTGATTTAATTGGTCTCAGGGTACTGTGATTTCCACAACACCATGTTGACTGAAAAGAAGCCAATCCAGAGAAAGCCACAAATCCAGTCTGGTATTTCTGAAGGAAAGAAAGCTCGACATTTAGTGTAAGATCCAGGAACTCTGGGACATGTCCTAGAAGGGAGTTTGAAAGGCTGAGAGTGTTATGGGCATACTCTTAACTTTGAACCTCTAGGGGAGAGCTCAAGGCTCCATCCACATCTCTCTCTCCCTCTCTCTCCTCTCTCTCTCTCTCTCTCTCTCTCTCACACACACACACACACACACACAGGAATCATTCCAGCAGATGTGCTATAGGAGCTTGAAAAAGAAAGAAGAGTGTTGATAAAGGTCAAAGACAAAAAGGAGTTCAAGAAGCTGGTGAAATGGAGTTTTAGATGAGAGAAACAAACTGATTACAGAGCTTTTTTCTTTCATATGGCTCGTTTTCTTAACCTTTTAAAAAAATTTCTCAACCCACATTTAGTATTACTCCTCACTACTTTTTCTTTCTTTCCTTTAATATAGCTCATGTATTAATATAGCTGGAGACTTCTACTTGGGAGGCCTTCACTCCCATTGGAAAAGGTCCCTTTCATAGAGTAAAATTGTTACCAACTAATCTCTGATATTATAAAAATTAATATTCTTTTCCTTGGATTTCCTTTTCAGTTTTTTGTTTGTTTGTTTTTTGTTTTGTTTTGTTTTGTTTTTGTCATCAGAGTGGTAAGACTTTGAAAGCTAAGATCAAAGCATGGACCTAAGAGAAAAGGGCCAAGTGAGTCATTCAGTGTCCCTTTAGTTTAAGCCTTAGAACATATGTTCAAAATGAACCTTCAGAATGCTTGTATAGTTCACCTCATCTTTTCACAGAAGGAAAACATACAGGTGACTTGAAGTTAAAGCCCTAGATTAATAAAACTAGTGTGTTTGCCTAAGTGACTGTCTCTGTTTTCTTTCCTTAGTAACCTGCATCAGCAGTGTTTGTTAGTTGCTAAAGGACTTGGAGACTTTCAGATCTTTGTCATCTGTGGCTTTTACCATCAGAAACATGACAATTATATGGTATAGTCAAAAGAATTGCCTGAATGATTGGAGAATGACAACTTGTGGGTCAAGATTACTACTTTTCTAGGAGACTGGCCAGTAAATACATTTGGGAGTAACATATATAACTTTGATTGCGATCTCAAGATCCCGAAACAATGAACGGTGTCGTTCTCAAGATGTCTTCCCTTGAGGGCTGTGTGTCTTGTCATTCTGGCCTTTGAAAATAGCAACACTGGTAGTGTGTCGATCAGCGTGAGGGTCAAGATAAGGATGTGGGCCTAAATTAGGATAAAGGGACCAAGGATTTTAGTCTTATCAAACCTTAGGCCAAAGGTTCAAAGAGGTACTAATGACCATATGCTAAATCATCAGAGTAGAAGGCTAATTGAGGATTTGGAGGTTCAGAATTTTAGCTACATTTGTAACTGATAAAATGCCTAGTGGGTAAGTACAGTTTTTTATCTGAGCAACTAGAAATTTGGAATTGGCATTAAAAAAGATAGGAAATGCTGCAAAGGTCAGGTTTGAGGAGAGAAAGATTAAGAGCTTTGTTTGAACATGTTATGTTTGAAATTCCTACTAGATATCAGAGTAGAGATGTGAAACAGGCAGTTGGATATATGAGTGGGAAGTTTAAGAAAGTAGTCCAGGCTGGAGATATAATTTTGAAACTCATCATGGAAACGGTAGCCAAAGAGCATATTTCAAAGAACAATTGCTGGGATACTTGAGTATGAAGAGGTGAAGAAAGTGAGGGGGTCCAGCAGAGAATACAGAGGAGGAGCAGACAGTGAAGTAGGAGGAAAACCAGAAGAATGTGGTATCCTGGAAGCCAAGTGATAAAAGTGTTTTTAGGAGGACAGAATGAACAACTATGTCAATTGGTGCTAGTAACTCAGGTACATGAGAACTGAGAAATAAGTAGATGGACTCAGTACTGGACTCAGTAAAGTAGATGTCATTAAAGGAGAGTTTTGCTGTATTGTTTGTAGTGATAGCATGATTTCATTATTTACCTGGAAAATTTTTCAGAATTTTCCTATGGTCATCTTTTTTTACATGAAAAAGGCAAGAATTCAATCAGTGAAATGCATTCAATGCTTTTATGACATTGTCCATAGATATGAAACCATACCAATGGGATGTTTTTATTGACTAGATGCTTTGACTTCATGTAAGAATGGTCTATAGGGCACGGGGGAACTATTGTTTATGAGAATAAATGATAGTATAGCACTTAGAATGTGTCTATGTGATATCATCGTAATTAGTGGCTGAAATAGAAAAAGATTCAGTTGACCAACGGAATGTTTCATTTTTATGTTGCAAAATAACTTGCTTAGCCATTTTTTCCTGAATTTATTAACTTGGCCAGTTTTCTTGCTATTATGCTGATGAAGCCTAAATGATTATAAGGGCATTCATGTACATGCACTGGATTAGACATGCTTTTTGAAGAGTTCAGTAAGATAAAGTTTCTTCTTACGGTAAGAAGAAGGGTATTTTGAGACTTTGCTACTCCTCTAGTTGAAACAGGGACTTCATTTCCATGCAGAAGGAAGCCCTTCAAAGCAAGTCAAAGAATACATAGGTTCTCAAGTTCATACGTCTTCCTATATCCACACACTTGCCTTGTGTGTAGCGGAGCCACTATGCTAGCCCTTGCTTCTGAGGTGTGAGATGCCAAGGTACATGCTTGGGCATCTACACATGTACTGCCCAGAAGTGTAGGGGAGTTAATATTCCACAGGGAAGGTATTTGACTAATGAGATAGTAGGCAGGAGATAAATTCTTCTCCATTCTTCCCCCAGATGACCTATATGGAGATGCAATATGGCCTGTCATAAGAAACTGAGAAATTAGCTTGTCATGAAACAGATTGTAGCCAACACAATGATACATTCTTTTATGTTTGCTCTCCTTCCTTCCCTACTTCACTACTCTTTTTCCTTACTCTTACTTCCTTGGGATTGCACATAAGCTTTTGCTTCAAGTTCTATTTTCTAAGAAACCCAGATATCTGGAAATAGGTCATAATTCCACCCAAATTCAGAACTATGTGACTTTGGACAGGTCACATTCCCTCTCCGTGCATCTTTTTCTCCCAACTATACAATGTTGACGTTGGAATAGATGCTCTTTAAGAGATTCTTTCTGGCTCTGAAATAGTATCAGGATATAAAGAATTGCCAGTATGAAGGAGGAGACGGGAAAAGGTAAGAAATTAAACTGAACAATGGTCATCAGTGGATTGCTTACATTTGAATCAGAAGAATACACTCAGTATAATCAATGAACTTAAATGTTAACAGTTCCAACTGATCTCAAATTCCAAAAATAGTTTTAGTTCTACTTTCTGCAGAAACAAATCAAATTAGTTTTCCTGGGCCTATAAAGAAAAAGTTACACTCTTAACTCTTACCTTCTCCTGCACAGTGAAAATATTTCTCTACTAGTTCTGCACTGTAAACTGTCTGAGAAGTGGCAACTGGCTGCAAACATGTTTTCAGAGGGAGTAGTGGAGAAGTTTGTAATGCCACCATCTTGGGAGCCAAGACAGCTAAGATATGATGTCTGTAACTATTGCTTCACTCCTAACATAGGAGCACATTTGTTTCTACTCCTAGGCTACAGATAAACTGGAGTTAGGCAAAGGACTATTCACTGTTTGAGGCTTGTTATACCAGAAGGGTTTACATTATATTCCAGACTTCTATACCTACCTCTGGAGCATGGACTTCGGACTCAGACAGCCTAGGTTCAAATATTAGCTCCTTCACTTACAAGCTTTGTTACTTTTGGCAAGTCAATTAACCTCTCTGTGCTTCAGTTTTCTCATATGAAAAATGGCAATTGTAACTGTACCTACATCTTAAAGTTAACGTGAGAATGAAATGAGCTAATATAGGCAATGTGCTTAAAATAGTGCTTAGCACATAGTAAGCACTATATAAATGTTCACTATATTTATTATAGCCATCGTGATGAGGGAAGATGGGCTGGAATCAAAGGAAAACTCTTGACTAAGCCATGTGAAATGTATCAGGGAACCAATATATGGAAAGTAGTAGAAGTAGGGGGTAACAGATGACTTAACTGCAAAAAAATGCGAAGCAGGAAACACCCTCTAAATATTCCTGTTTATACAGTACATGACACAAGGTAGAAAAATAATGAAAACAGAGGCTTTCTGCAGGATTTAGAGTTCTTTCATATATATTTTAAATATACATGTGCAATACATTAAAATATATAGAGATGTGTGAATATATATATTTACACACACACACACATATATATATACACACACACATATATACATATATGTGTGTGTGTATATATATATATGTATATATATATATATATATAAAATTTCACAGAAGGGTACATATGCACACTCACACATCTGTACACATACCCCAACAGGACCCATCTATACGTAAACCAGATGCAGCCCGTATCAGGCCAACTTGGACACAAGTGAAAGCCCTGACTCAGCAGCAGATTGCAGATTGCAATTGCATTTGAGTAACCCTTCAGTTTCTTCTACCAAGTGTAAGGCCATTTAGAAATACACTGAGAAGAGCTCTTCTGGGTGTATGGCAGAGCCCAGGGCCCCTCTGGCAGTGCACAATTTGCCTGAGTAAGGACTGCAGGATTGGGATATCAAGGAACTATCGAGGAAGAGGGACTTGTGTTGTTTGGGGCCCTGAAACTAATAAGCAAACATCCATAGAATAACTTTAGCTCCAGGAACAATGCACTAGTGTCATAGAATCCTTATATATCTCAGCTCTAAGCAAATTTCAGGCATAAGCGGGGAGAAGTGTGTGTTGCTACTCGTCACCATCCAGCCGGACCCAGAGAACTGGGCACAGCTTTTAGGAATAGGTAAGTCAAAGTTCAATCAGGCAGACTTGTAAGATTTTAAGAACTTACTTAAAATGGAAGGATCTGAAAGCAACTTAAGAGGTTACAGGTATTGGTTTGGGTTTATAATGTTCCAAGAAGCCAAACCTTATATATGGCACCATTTGCAGCAATATCATTAACATTATTAGTAATCATCATAACATATTTGTATATACAAAAATAGAGCAAAGCGATTCTAGAAGAGGAGGCGAAAGTGAAAGCATGGGCCTGTGTGCAGCCCAAATGTCAGTACACTTCAGGAAGATTCAGAACCAACAAAAAGTAAGTGGCACATCCTTCTATAGCATATATCCAACAAAGGGATGTGGATGTTCCCTTCTTCTTCCCCCTGTGTATGACTCTACATTTCTCCCCACCTCTCCACTCGGCAATACACATCCATGCACGCTTTAAAAGAGATGATATATAAAGTTAGAGTCTGGAAGTCTTAAACTAAGTTGGAGCACCTTGATTTCAAGCAAGTGCCCTCAATCTCTGAATTCCTTGGTGAATTTTGGATCCGCTTACAGAGGGAAACTGGATCTAACTCTTGTGTCTTTTAACAGCTGTCTTTAGGAGCCTGCCATCCCCACTGCAGCCTTTTCCCGTTGAAGTGGATTCACAACACAGTCAGTTCTCTGCTTCATATGTCTTTCAGCTCAGGTTTCCACTGTTGCTGAAATTTCGGTTCTCAGGCAATTGCCATTGCAGACAAAGCCAGGAGTGAGCACAACATGTGTAGCAAAGAGAAGGCGAAGATACAGCTTGGTTAGGGGTTCCTTGTTTTTGTTTTGCTTTGCTTTGTTTTCCACACTTGAGCTTCTACAAGTGACAGAGCCAAAGGTGATGTCCACTGGTGGAGCCCCAACACCTGATAGTTAAGTAGCTACCCACCGTGCACGGCATAAAGACCACCACCCTAACTTGGCATGGTTCCAGAAAAATTGAATGGCAATGGCTTTCTGTCACTGTTAATAGAGTCCTAGGAGAAAAGTCCCATGACCTGATGTGATGTAGGCTAGGGAATACTGAACTAGGAGTCAGAAGGCTTATATTCCAGTCCCAACCCTGCTATGAACTCAGTGTGTGGCCTTGGGAAAATCCCTTCCTATCTCCAGGCCTCAGTTTTCCCAGCTGCAAAATAAGGGCATTGAACTAGATTAACAATTAAGATTCTTTCCAGCTCTAAAGTTTTATGACTTTTTATGTCCATAATTAAGGCCTGAGCCATGCAGTCTCAGGGCAGTTAGCTTCTAAGAGAGAACAGACCTCTATAGTATCCCTTGTTTTGTTCATTTAGCTATAAAGCACGTCTGCCTTTGGCACTTGGGTCAGACATACAAAGTTATGAGCATCCTGATTTACTATCCTACTCCGCATGCTAGTGGAATCTGTCAGTACTATAAGTTGATGATTGGGAAAGGGAGTAAAACTCCAACTAGTGAAACCTGGAAATGTAAGATAAGTTTTGCCTCATATGCTCACAAACAGGTGAGTGTGGTTATGAATGCACACACACACGTCAGGATATAGACTATTGCTCGTGATCAGTTCATTACAGTAATCCGTTTCCCTTAATAAAATTTAGTAAGTAGTGTAGCATGGCAAAGTTTGGCGTCAAAGGAAACACCTATGGAAAAACAGCACTTCTGGACAGAGTAGAGAAAGAAGGACAGGCAGAGAGAGGCAAAGACCGATCAAACAAGATAGAGATATGAGCAGAGAATGGGTTAGTCGGAAAGAGAGAGAGGAAAGGAGTGGAAGGAAGGGAGAGAGAAAGAAAAGAGAGGAAAAATAAAAATCGGGTGGGAATGAAGGGGAAAGGAACAAAGAAGAAGAGGAGAGAGGGAGAAAAAGACTAAAGAAGAGAAGGGCAGTAAAGAGGGAGAAGGGGTCAGATTCCCTGGAACATTGAACACTGTTCCACGTGGACCTGTGAAAACCATCTCAGAAGACAGTTTCCAAAGGCCTGTGGAAAGTAGAGTGACGCTCAGAGCCTGCATCAAGAGGCATTCTGCTGCGAAGCCCCTAGACCTCCACGTTGCTGGCTCTGTCAGTCCTCAGTGTCCGAATCTCATGCCTATATATCACCTGAATTTGCCATGACAGCCACAGGGCTACAATGGCAAGGTGTACAAAGGTGGAAGAGGAGTGGGATAGATACTGTGAGAAAGAACAAGGCATCCTGCACCAGGATGGACTTGGCCATTCCCCTGACACTGCAGGAGCAAAACTGGTGAGGCCTTAACTTTGGCTGCTTTCCTCCTTCTCCCCGTCTTCAAAGATGAGGCCTACACTTTACTACTGGGAGTTAGAAGGAGAAAGCTCTGGATCCATGTGGTGGGAAGGTCATACGGACTTTTCCTGGGCCTTGGGGAATGCTGCACTACCGGAAGAGATTTTTCTGCACACAGTGTTGGTGTGCCTCTTACAGCGGCAGCCTGGTCGCCTGAGGCTATCATAGCCCTGCTGGCACAGATGGAGGCATCCACGGGTAGGCAGGTAGCAGCAGAGGCAAGGGAGGAAGAGGGAGATGAGACTCATGGCTGCCCAGCGGACAAAGCAAGAGCTAGGCCCACAGGAGCAGGGCTCATCAGCGCAGTTGTCTTCATCATCAGTGGAGCAGTGGTAGAAGAGACCCTTAACACAGCAGAGACAAGTGCCATAATCGAGGAGGCTCTCAGCAGAGCAAAGGCACCGCTGGTTGCACAGCCAGCAGGAGGGGAGAGGACGAGCTGCTGCGCAGAGGACACATTTGCAGCGCCCACACTCCTCGCAAATGAAGAGGTGCTCACTGGGGTGCACAGCAGATTGCTCAGCTTCTCCCTTCAGAGCACCATCAGCCTTCGGGTGGGCCCCTGCTCCAGGCTGCGTTCGGATGATGGACTGGCCTGAAGGTGAGGGCGTAATGCTGCCCAAGAGCCTTTGATCAGAGGCAGTGGTGCTATGGGACATTGAGCTGGCGATGCTAGATTGGCTCAGATGCTGCGGCAAGGGCTGCAGTTGATGGCACTGGCTGAGACTGCGGGGAAGAGCAGTAGGCATGGTAGCCAGCGACCAATCAGATTTGTGGGTTTGCACTATAAGGGAGGGGCTGGAGAGGGCTTGTTTACAGGGCACTGGAGGCCGTTCCACATAATCATTGCTAGCATGAGTAGAGCGCAGTTGTTCAATAGGGAGAATTTGTTGGAAATCATCTGTCACTGCGGCGTCCATTTTGCTTTGATTCTTGAGTTCTGAGTGGTTTGGGGTCAGGGTGGCACTTGTGGTGATAAATAGCCCTTGTAGTTACATGGACCTTAGGGCACATCAGAAAATCCTAGGAGAGAAGAAATAGAAACAATACATGAGAAGACACACACATGACTACTTTGCAGGGAACTAACAAGGCTCCAGCCCTATCTCTACCACTACCTTCAGTTACTTTAGGGTAGTCTTCCTGTTACACCTTCATTCTGTAATTGACCTTATCCACTATCTTCACAGGCAAATCTGGTCAACCCATCCAGACTATAAAGCACTCTGGGAGCAAAGCTCACATCATTGATTCCTTTTGTATTTCATCATATGACTAGGGTCACAGGAGAAGCTAGCTCATTCAGATGCTTGCTAACAGAGGAATCTAGGCCTTGAGCATCAAAATTCTAATAAAAATGGAAGCTAATCTCAAATGCAAAGGCTACAGCCTGAAGTGATGCTAATGTAAGAGAAAAAGCCTCAAAGGTCTTCCATGAGAAGTTGCATGTGTATGTGTGTGAGACATATATACAATGTACATATATATATATATATATATATTTGATTGATGGTATATAAATATTCTCCTTTCAGTGAAATTTCTGATACGCATAATAAACAGATGAGCAAGGAATTGCTTGATTCAATGAATACAGGCAGGCAAGAGGCTCTCTGTAGAATAATAGGAAAAAAACTTCCCCAAAGCAGATGGAAGTCGAGACTAATCATCTTGCAGTTCTCCTCACCTTTGGTCTACTTTAACTTATTGAGGAGATAATTCTTTCTAACTGGCAGTGTGGCTCCAGAATCAAACTTTTATATATGTGTGAGGAACACTGGGGATGGGGGGACCATATAAGATGATCCCTGAATTTTTTGAAATACCACCTGTAACTGTACCTATTTAAACCAAGTTGAATATCTAGAAAGCATATGCTTATGTCTCTGTCATACCACAATCAGGAAGAGCTGGGTGGTCATTCCCTGAAGGATCTGATGGAGCCTAATACTGATAATGGTGACCATGAGGAAAATATTATACAAACAGTAGATCACTGTATTACACCACCTGGAAGACTGAACGGCCAAAAAAGTGTACACAAGAAAACCTAAGCACAAAGCCAAGAGTCATTCTGGAGGCATTAGGACCTAGGAAACACTAGCACGAATAAAGTATGTATTTGAAATCCATCATATTTCAGGCCTCCTCAAAATAGATCGATTACTCACACTACTGTATGGAATGCAAAGCTTGAATGAGTAATAGAAATGAACAAGTGAAAGAGGATAGTGCTTGATTAGGTTTCCATAAGCAAGCAAACACGACACTGAAATGCGCCCAAAGCTCGATAACAGGAAAAATAAGGATGCCGTTCATAAAGGACTCAGTGGCTAATAATATGACCAGACTCATTGCCTTTTGAGGCTATATCCCCATGCAAACCTGTTTAGTTGAATTTACATCTGTTCGCTTTTTGAAAAGAAGATTTAATTTGGTTAAAAATAACTTTTCTGGCACATCACAGAAAAGAACCAGTCTGACTATAATTTCACTTTTTAGCTGGTTGTTTTGGTGTTATTTAATGCAACACAAGAGAATGCAAATAAACACTACGGACATTCTAAGGCTCGAATATCTATGAAACTTTTGTCAAATCACTTGTTTGTGTGGGCCTCAATTTCACTATCTATATAATTATAGGGGTATACTAGGTGATTTTGAGGGACCCTACCCCATTATGTTCTATAATTCTATAACTACACAATTTGACAAAAATTTCTCTTCATCTACACCTCTATATCTCCAATCCTTGAGGGTGAACTAAGGAACATGCCCTTTTTCATTTTGGCATTCAAAAGCAAAATTTATGTCTCTTTTATTTACTTGGACTCAGGCCCCTGAAGCCTCCCACATCTACCTTTACTGTACTTTGCTAAGATTCACAATCTCAGCACTGGAAAGGAAAAAGTAGTTTTCATTCGAACACCTAAATAAACAAAAACACGGGACATCTGGGTGGCTCAGCCGGTTAAAGGTCTGCCTTTGGCTCAGGTCAAGATCCCAGAGAGCCCCACATGGGGCTCCTTGCTCAGCGGGGAGCCTGCTTCTTCCTCTGCCTGCCGCTCCCCCTGCTTGTGCTCAATCTCTCTCTGACAAATAAATAAATAAATAAAATCTTAAAAAAATAAACAAAGACACATTGTTCAGCTGACTTGCAGGGTATGTGCATGTAGATACTTTGCATCAGGAAGAGTCTTTTGACAAATTTATAAGAAATGGATTTATTCCCCATTGATCAGATAAAGAATGCATGGGGCCCCTTGTGTCCTTTATACTATAAGAACAGTAACAAACACACTGGATGCATTTTAGACTAATTGATTTCCCAAAGGAAATTAGATTCAAAACATATTGGAAATTCCAAGAATCAATAACTCAAAGGAAGGCATACAAGGTCTCAAAGTTACAAAAGATAATCCTATGGGATTCCAAAGATATCACTAGGTATCTCAGGGACATGCCCAGAAGGTTGAAAAGCTAAGCTTGGAGGAATCTAGGTCATAATAGAAATGACTCAGAACCATGTTCAAAGGGGATTCTGTCTTGGCAGCAGAAGGGTATATGGTGCTTAAGTTGAGAAGGTGTATCTGGATATTGATTAGATTGCTGTGAGACTGAAAAGTTGAGCTGCTGGGTTGTATAATTAAAGGAAGCTTTGGGCATTGGTCTGGGATGATGAGGTACTACTGTCTTGTTTACAAGGGGCTTAACAGGATGACCTCCTGACCTGCAAAATCTTTTATTAGAATGGACTGTGGAAAATCTGCAATACAGTGGGAAGGAGGACCTGGGCAAAATCAGAGTGTAGAGAAGGATAAAGCAGTATTGAATGAGAATAAAATGTTTGCCGATCCGATCCGGCTAACAGGACGAACTGAAGTAGATACTGTACAGAAAGGTAAGAGGGGGAAAGATTGAGAAGCAAACAGGCAAGAGCTGCTACATAGATGAGATGAAAAACTACTACTGCATGTTTATGATTCAGAAATCCACTCATTAAAGGGCCATTCATTGTGAACAAAAACAGTTAAGAAACTGTGCTGTTGGTCAGTTCCATATTCTATTCAATGAGAGAGAGAATCTGCATATCACATATTATTAAATAGGAGCCAAGGTGATTACAAGTCTTGGCTGCACATTGGTGGGATCTAGTGATTTCTGTCACGTAGTGCCTCTGCAGTAATGAATGATGCATTGTAAACCCACTCCCATCTCAGTTCCTCTGGCCAGGTGCTCCTAGCTTTCTCAACAGTTTTTCTGTAGCCCTGAAATTTTCTGTTCAACCTAAACAGAAATTTCTTTTCTTATGCCAACTTAGGGACTAGAGAGCTAAATCTATTCAAGAAATGTTGTTCGTTAATGAAAGGAAAATGTATTTACTCCCTGGAACCTAAAATCTGCCATGTTGAGACTAAAGTTGAAAACTTCCCTATCTAAAGCCCTACTATGCTAACACCCTCAGACAGTTCTGATTTCTCTGGTAAATCCTTTCTGATACAATATGACTCAACCTCAATTTCAAAGAAGGGAGGGGAGAGAAGGAGAGCTTGGCTCCTGTTTTCTCCCACTCCCATGGGTTCAATGCTGTTTTGTACCTTACTGTGTAACAGCTCTGGGGTGTGTTACTTTTTTCTGTGCTCTGCTGTTATATACACTCCTTCTCAGAATAACTGAAAGCAAACATAGGGGGAATTTCTGCTATGGCTTTATATGTTTTCTTAGTTCTACTGTTCCAAAGTCTGCTCTCCAAAAATCCCTCTCTGTGCAAAAGCATTTGCATCTCTATCAAAGCACTCCCCCCTTACAAATACCAAGTTGTATATAGTTTACATTACTAACCTCTCAGCCACTGACTGGGCCTCCCTCCTACCACATACATCTTGCTGGAGCTGCCAGGTTCTCACCACATTTAACTCTTAACTTGTCACTTTGCTACCCTAGCAGTATTCATTACTTTAATAGTTTCATTAAGACTCAGAGCAGTTTATTTCAAACTAGAGAGTCTAGCAGCTTTAAGACCTTGCATTTTTAAAGATATAGGTGTTTTAGTGATGAGCACTACAGGGAAAAGTTGTAATATCAAATGAATTCACACACTTCTAATCCTGAAGAAAATGCTAGTTGTTCACTTAAGAAGCAGGAATCTTTCTTTAAACACCATATCCTTTTACAAGATACAAGAATTTTAAGTTCTAGTGTTAGCTACTTTATTGTGTGACTGTGGGCAAATGACTTCTATCCCAAGCCTCAGTTTATCTACAAAATGAGGGGCACTAAAGGAGGGCTTTTAAAGCCCTTTCTTGTTCTGAGGCTCTAAGTTTTTTTATGCTGGGTTTGTTGGTTGCATGTCTCTGTCTCAAAAAGTCTTTCAGGAAGAATTAGTCTCCTTCCTTCAGGTTTTTTAATTCCTCACTACCCAACTCCTCAACTCTGAATAAAAACCTTCCAAATCCAAGGCACTCAGATCACTATCTAGATTGTTTCACAGCTAGAAAGACCTAAAAACAGAACACAAAGAAACAAAAATGCATAGAATAAGGTCTTAGTACATGTTTATTTAGAGGTACAGGGAAGAAGACTAATACTTCCTTGTGGATAAAATGCTAGTCTGTGCCTTATTGGTATGTATGTATGCAGCTGACTTGTTGGGAACATGATTTAACACCTGGTATATCCAAATTCATGTAATAGCACATTATGTTACAATGAGGTTTTAATGTACCCAGAAAAGAAACAATAGTTTGCATTTCAAAATAGATTTTCTGTTTAAGAGTTCAAGGTCTGTTTTCTGTTCATCCAACTTGGTTTGCAACATGCAGAGGTGAATGCTAATTATAATTAGCTAGAGGAATGGAAGGGAGTGTAAGCCACTGTACTAGGTCCTATCAAATGCCTATTGGCTAACTGGACATGCTCACAGGTTCTCACTTTTGACAAAATTTCCGTATGCCACACAGAGACATGTGCACACACACCCAGGCATGGATCCAGAGATTTCTAAATCACTGCTCTGACTCAATGTAAGTAGGGGGTTATGCCGTGTCAGCTTGCGCCATTTCTACCCAGGGCAAGGTGATGTGATGAAATCTGAACGATGCACAGCCCAGACTTGTGAGCCAATAGCAGACTAGCCCCACGCTGACAGGATGCCCGCTGGGCAGCCAGACTGGCCTCAGCACGGGCTCTCCCTACGTCCTCAGCTTGGGTGGTTAGGCTGCGCTATAAGGGGCTTAGGCAAGAACCAAAATGCGTTTAAAGGTCAACAAGCTAAAAATTAAATTGACATTTGGCTACAAAAGGGTTATTTTGAAGTTCCATTTTGATTTATAAATTTCCAATACGGATAGTTTTCTGCAAAAGCTGATTCATTTAAATCAAATTTAAATGGTTTTCATTTTATTTTACCCATGCGTTTGCTCTTGTACGCGTGCACACACACGCGCGCGCGCGCGCGCACACAGACGCGCGCGCGCACACACACACACACACACACACACGATGGCCGGAATGAATGGCAATCTATGCATTGCATAGAAAGAATTCTAGGGTCTTTAAGAGCTAATCTCTATGGCTTACCTTGAGGAAAAGGTTTATCCATGCTGAGGAAAGCAGAAGAACTAATGCCCCATTTGGCTCAAAAGACCTCTTCTTCTCCTGAGTCTTTAGGTTTCTCCACCTCTCTTCGGAAAGTCTGAATGAAAACTCCTTCACTGGCAGTGGAGCCAGAAACAGAGATAGTTCTGTGTCGGTCTTTCTGACACAGCACAGAAAACGGAAAGAAAAAAAAAAAAAAAAAAACGGTGGTGCGGGGGGTGGGGTGGGGAGGAGAGTCAGACCTGTAGTGGCAGATACTTTGTATAGATTTTACATGCAGATCTAAATCTTGATGCACGTATTCCCCAAAGAAAGCTCAGCAGGGTAAGTTGTTCATCTCCTCCTCCTCTTTCTCCTCCTCCTCCTCTTCTTTCTCCTCCTCCTTCTTCTATTTCTCCTCCCCCTCCTCCTCCGCCTCTTTCTCCTCCCCTTCTCCTCCTCCTCCTCTTTCTTTTCCCCCTCCTCCTTCAGCGTTTTCCTTCCCCTCCTCTTCCCTCCCCCTTCCCTCCTCCCCTTCTTCCTTCTTTACCTCCTTCCCCTCTTTCTCTTTTGCCTCCGCCTCCGCCTCCGCCTCTGTCTCCTCCAATCTGACGGATGAACCGAAGCAGCAGAAACTGCAGTTGTAGACACAGGGTATCTCAACAGAGCAATAGATACCGCTAGTGTGTGATTATTTATATAGCTCAGGGTGTGTTGGTATATAATCTGCAGAGACGGGGGGAGGGGAGTGAAATTGCAGTGTGTTCAGCTCAGCTAGCTGGCTGTTTTGTGAATGTACATGATTTCTGAAGGTCTTGTGAATGGATTATAGGGGAGGATGGGAGGAAAGGGATTTATTGCTCCTTGTTATAATTTCTTTCTCTCTCTTTCTCTGTGTCGTTTGCTTTCCCGGAGCTGTAGCTCTTAATGCTTAGCTAAGTGGCGTCATCCAGTTGAAATTGAATCGACCCATTAGAACTCCCCATAGGAATCTCTGTATCCGGTCCTTGGGTAATGACTGAAACAAAATTTAAAGGGGAATGGGGGTGGGGTGGAAAGTAACAATTTTAAGGAGGCCTCATTTAAATATCTCTGCCGATCACAGTCCTACCAAACCACTCAGCCCTTGCAGCTTCTATCAGATAGAGCTTCTCCTTTGTTTAAGGGTTTCTCCCACTCTTACCCGCATTCATTCCCACTTTTTCAGCACGAATAATGATTGTCCATCCATCATCCATTGGGAAACCATTACCCAACTTACTTTCCCTTTCTGCCTTTAGTATGCCATATAATCAACAAAAATTTTTTTGTGCCTTCTGTTGTACTAGGTATTGTGGATTCAATAAGGAAGACAGAATCCCTGCCTTCATGCAGCCTCCTTAGGACTGCCAGTCTTCTGAAAATAAAGCAGCTTTGGACATTTTCTCTTAAAATGAAGGACAAAGTTTTCTGTAAATTATCCTCAGTCCACTAATTAAGTAGAAATGGGTCTTCCTTTTGGGCATCCAAACAGAAGCACTTGCATGAAAACAAGTCTCATATTTAAAATAAAAGAGATCTGATTTCAAGTCCTGCTTCAATGGACAAGTAGCAAGAGCTTGATCATCAACATTCTTAGGATGCCTTGCTTACCCCATCTATAAAAATGAGATGGTAAATGGTGACAGTTCTGAGTAAAACAAACCTGTGTGAGTCACGAAACTGAGATTCTTAATCTTACTCTAACTCCTTGTGTGACCTTTGTAATTTACTCTCCCTCTAGTGCCTCAATTTCTACATTTACATGAGAAGATCTGATTAGGTAATTGCTAAGATCCCTTCTAGCTCTGACATTCTATTATTTACACCCTCTCAGGAGGATTAAGAAAACAAAAGAAAGCATGGGATTAAAAATATATATGGTTGTGTGGGTCTGCATGCTCATATGTGTATGTGTGTGTCAAAGGTGCTCCAAACTCTTTTGTTGATGGGTAGGTACGTATAGTGTATACACACACATATACGTACATACATACGCGTGTGTGTGTCTATATAATTTCTAAGCAAATCCAGTTCTCTTCCTAATCAGAATTTCTAGAGTCAAGAGATTTGCCTATGTAAATTCTTCTCTTTTATGGCTCAAACATCTTCTTTACTCTTAATATTGACTTGAGCTTATCAAGATCATGAAAAACATTAAAGCTAATCTGTAGTTTTATCTGCAGAAGAGGAAAGATTTACTGATATATTCATTCACCCATTTTTTCAACAGGTATTTATTGCACATCAACTATGTGCCAAGTACTGAACTAACTAGATTTGGGTCAAACAAATCAGGGTTCAAATTTTTGCTCCTAAATTTATGAGCTATCTGACTTTGGACATCTCAATTCACGTCTCTGAACCAGTTTCCTCCATTCATCTATAAAATGAAGGTAACAATAGTCCCCACATCACAGAATTGTGCTATTTCCTATAGATTGAATAAGGTCTTGCATTTGAAAGTCTTATCATGTGTCTGGCATATAGTAAGTGTTCAATGAACAGTAAATATGAACATTAAGAAAATTAAGAAATTGTTCTCACCCTAATGAAGCCCATAGGAGAGGGAGAGATGATTTCAATTTGAAATCCTTTTATTTTTTTAAGCTCCATTTTTAAATTTGAGCAGATATATGCCAAATATATCTTTCTTAAATGTGGCTTATTTTCATACTTTATTCCTTTGTTCAAAAACTTCTTTCTAATTCCTAGAGCATTAAGTTTAAATTGCTTTGCCTGTCAATCAAGTTATTCTGACTCTATACATTCCACTTCTCAACATACCTTTCAACATAAGATAAGTTGAGTGTTTGACTCTTCTAAGATACCAATCCAGCTTTCCATATGTATCCTTCACATGACTTGTGTATATTTATTCATTTTCTACTTTGGGGTCCTAATTCTTCTGTGAATACTTCCCTGGCTCTAAGGCTCCTTTCTGTTCTAAAGCTCTATGATAGTTTTTACTAATACCCGAACTTATTTCTACATTTGTAACTCCTATAACACTCTCATCTATGTTCTGTCCTGGTTATTCAGTAGACTTTGTTAGATACTTTACCTTCTTTCAAAATCTTTTTGACTTAATTGTCTTATCAGAAATGATTTGGACAACCAGTTTGCTCTAAGTATGGAAGGGTGTGTTTAATTAATTATAAAACTATAACTTAGAGATTTCTAAAACATAGTAGTAAGGAAGATATTTGGAGGGCAGAGTGATTTTTCTGGTGTTCTTCAAGGTTACTTATTTATTTTTTGAAATTACTGGCTTTTAGAAATAGGTGGGTTGAGGGCGCCTGGGTGGCTCAGATGGTTAAGCGTCTGCCTTCGGCTCAGGTCATGATCCCAGGGTCCTGGGATCGAGTCCCACATCGGGCTCCCGGCTCAGCGGGGAGCCTGCTTCTCCCTCTGACCCTCTCCCCTCTCATGCTGTTTCTCTCTCGCTCGCTCTCTAAAAAATAAAAAAATAAAATCTTAAAAAAAAAAAAGAAATAGGCGGGTTGATCTGTGCTAAGACAGTATTTCCAAATTCAACTGGATTTGCGTTAATGTCAGCAAGGTGTCTATAAAGAGAAAAAAAACATTGGATTGGGAGACAGGAGACCTGTGTTTGCTCTAGGCCAACACTGTCACTAACTAGCTGTATGATCTTAGACAATTCAATGAATATGTCTAAATGTGTTTCCTGAAAAGCACACCATTAACTAAAGAGCTAAGAAAGCATGTTTCCTGAAATACACTGATTCTAACAAGTTTGTAAAACAAGTTGTCAGACATCACATAGTGAATTTTGTAATGTCTCAACATCAATTTCTGTATATAATTGTACTATGCCAGTATCTTTTCAAAAATCATAAAACTGCAAATAATCTTTCAGAAACACAACAGCTTAAAGCACAAATAAACATATTTATGTTGATTTCTAAGAGTCAGTTATTTATTCATTTAATAGGCATTAATTGAGTGACCAGTGTGCTGGGCCCTGGGGATACAACAGTGAAGACAAATATGATAAATGTTATATCTACCCTCAAAGAGATCACTGTCTAGAATGGGGGACAGACAATTATAATTAAGGGTGATAAAGAAGAGGACAGTTACCTAAACTGGTGTTTTGGTGGGCAAAAGAGTATATAATGACATGGAATATTCAGGGATATCAAGTAATTTGGAAAAGTTAGAGCAAAAATCCTTGAAGAGATTTGCAGATGAGAGGGTTCTGTGGTGTAGTGATTAAGAGTGTAAACTCTGAAATGAGTCAACCTGAGTCGAATTCCAGATCAGCCACTTGCCAGCTATATATCCTTGGCCAAGTTACTTAATCTCTTTGGGCCTTGGTTTCTCATTTGTAAGATCAGTACAACTTACAAATATACCTCATAGGGTTGTTGTGAGAATTAAATGGGTTAGAACATGTTAAATGCTTAGAACAGTATCTGACACAGAACAAACATCTTTCCCTACCCACTTGAGTGTCATCAACTCCACAAGAGTAGGAAATTTAGCTGTTGAATAATCAGCACTTAGTGAGTGGCCCATAGAAGGCATTGTTGAATGAATGATCATTAACCTAATTATTATTTTTTATGGGTATCATCCTAAGAGGTGAGAAGGTTGAATAATCTCAGTTATTTTCATTGTTGCCTTAATATAGGCTCACAGTATAATAATATAGTAATAAATTAATATATAAAAATAAATTCTATGTTATTAATATAGATACTAGATTATATATGCTATTAATTAATTATAATTAATCAATGAATCCCTGGTCTCAAGGGGCTCAGAATTTGGTAGGAAAGGTAGCAAACAGACAAATGTAATAAAGAATAAGTGCTATGGAAGGGAGTAGAGAGGAAATACATCTAATCCAATATTGAGGGGGTTATTGAATGCTTCCTAGAAAAGGTGATATTTAAATATAAATTTGAAGGATGAGAAGGACATTAGAGCCAGAGGGAATAGCATGTGTGCAAAAGCCAAGAGGTAAGAGGGGGATGACAGAATGAACTGCAAAAAGAACCATCACTGAATCTCCCAAACTCAGCATAATGCCTGGCACAGAGTAGATGCTCAGGAAATATTTGATAAATGAAAGAATGAATGAAAACAATTACAAGCAGATATAAGAACTAATGAAGATACAAAGATGTGAAAACAGTATGTTTTATAAGCCATTCTAAAAGGGTCCCCTATACTCATAGCTTGAACAAGTTAGGAGCAGAAATTTTCTCTAGAAGGCACCACCCACATATTCTCTTCATATTCCTAGAATGTACTGAGCTTATTTAGGTTTCTTACTTAGTTTTTACTAAATTGTAGCAAGTGGAAATAGATTATACATAAAAAAACCAATTTGTATGATAGTCCAATACAGTGTCTAAAATAATCATTATCAGAATCTTCATCCATAAACCCAATAAAATATCAATTTCTGTCACCTATAATTATAATCCATACTCTCTTAATTTGTCTACATAAAACACGTATTCTACACAAATTCTGGAAGTTTTTCCTCATTCTGTTTTTCCCAGACTGCCACTAAATCCATTTGAGAGCCTGCAAGTTCCTATATAAGGCCAGTTTTATCCATACTCTACTGAAGTCAAGAGGAAATCTTTAGAAATGTCAGATGAAAAGCTGACCTATGGTCATCCTGATTCAGCAGTGATGATGCCAAAAGAAGTAAACAATGCCAAGGAAATACAGATTCTTAACCAAAAAGCCTATAGGGATGGTGATAATGATTTTTCCCATAGAAGCTGGCAAACAAATATAGGAGCAATATGACCAATAATGAGAGAATGGTATAGAAAAGTCAGAGAGAAAAAAATAATTTAGGAGAGCATAGAAGGGTAGGAGGTAGGGACAAAGTCATTCTGTGGAAAGAAAACTGGACTAAGAGTAAGGAAATGTAGATTTTAGTATCTTAATCTGTGTGGCTTTGGCAGTGTGGCTTTCACCTATTTTCATCTTCACCATTTTTTCTCATCTGTAACATAGTAAGTTTCAACGTAAATCAATAAAACAAACATATACTGAGCATCTACTTACTGTCAGGGAATATACTTGATATGAAAGATACAAAGATGAATACATACTGGTTGAATGAATAAATGAGTGGTCTTAGCCTCTCATTACTCACAGTCTGATAGAATAAATGGACATGTAAACATATAAACTGCAATACAATCTGTCACTAAATCAAATGAGAGATAATTGTGGCCTGAATCAAGGTAGGGTCAGTGTGGATGAAGAAAAGTGGATGATATGCAGAATATAGAATAAACAAGACTTAGTGACTTATTAGATATGAGGTATTAATCATGCCATATACTGAAATATGGAAGGAATATTAAAAAATTGGGTTTGAGAATGTTGGGTTTGAGGTGCCCATGTAGTATATAAATGGTAATCCAGGCAAAATTATACGTGGGTTTTGACTTTATGAGAAGATATGGATCAGTTTGATATGAATTTTAGGATTGTTTGTTCCAGCTCTGTGAAAAATGCTGTTGGTATTTTGGTAGGGATTGCATTAAATGTGTACATTGCTTTGGGTAATATAAACATTTTAACAATATTTGTTCTTCCAATCCATGAGCATGGAATGTTTTTCCACTTCTTTGTGTTATCTTCAGTTTCTTTCGTAAGTGTTCTATAGTTTTCAGAGTACAGATCTTTTATGTCTTTGGTTAGGTTTATTCCTAGGTATCTTATGGTTTTGGGTGCAATTGTAAATGGGCTCAATTCCTTGATTTCTCTTTCTGCTGCTTCATGATTTGTGTATAGAAATGCAACAGATTTCTGTACATTGATTGTGTATCCTGCAGGTTTACTGAATTTGTGTATCAGTTCTAGCAGTTTTTTGGAGGAGTCTTTCAGGTTTTTCTACATAGAGTATCATGTTGTCTGCAAATAGTGAAAGTTTGAATTCTTCCTTGCCAATTCAAATGCCTTTTATTTCTTTTGGTTGTCTGATCTTTGAGACTAGGATTTCCAGTATTATGTTAAATAACAGTGGCCAGAGTGGACATCCCTGTCTTGTTCCTGACCATAGGGGAAAATCTCTTAGTTTTTCCCATTGAGGATGATATTAGCTGTGAGTTTTTTGTATATGGCCTTTATGATGTTCACGAGTATGTTTCCTCTATCTCTACTTTGTTGAGGGTTTTTATCAAAAATGGATGTTGTACTTTGTCAAATGCTTTTTCTGCATCTATTGAGAGGATCATATGGTTCTTATCCTTTATTTTACTAATGTGGTATATCATGTTGATTAATTTGTGAATATTGAACCACCTTTGCAACCCAGGAACAAACCCTACTTAAACGTGATGAATGATTCTTTTAATGTACTGTTGAATCCGATTTGCTAGTATTTTGTTGAGAATTTTTGCAGCCATGTTCATCAGGGATATTGGCCTGTAGTTCTCTTTTCTTATTGGAGTCTTTGTTTAGTTTCAGAATAAGGTAATGCTGGACTCCTAGAATGAGTTTGGAAGTTTTTCTTCCATTTCTATTTTTTGGAACAGTTTAAGAATAGGCATTAACTCTTTAAAGGTCTGGTAGAATTCCCCTGGGAATCCATCTGGCCCTGAACTTTTTTGTTGGGAAATTTTTTATTATGGATTCAATTTCTTTGCTGGTTATTGGTCTGTTCAAGTTTTCTATTTCTTCCTGCTTCAGTTTTGCTAGTTAATATGTTTCTAGGAATTTATCCATTTCTTCCAAGTTGTCCAATTTGTTGGCATATAATTTTTCATAATACTCTCTTATAATTGTTTGTATTTTTGTGGTGTTGGTTACTGTTTCTCCTCTCTCATTTGTGATTTTATTTATTTGGGTCCTTTCTTTTTTCTTTTTGATAAACCTGGCTAGGGGTTTATCAATTTTATTAATTTTTTCCAAGAACCAGCTCCTGGTTTCATTGATCTCTGACTAGCCAAAGCAATCTTGAAAAAGAGAAAGAATGCTGGGGGCATCACAGTTCTGAGCTCCAAGTTAGATTACAAAGCTGTAGTGATCAAGACAGTATGGTACTGGCACAAAATAGACACAAAGGTCAATGGACCAGAATACAAAACCAGGAAATGAACCCATAACTATATTGTCAACTAATCTTCAACAAAGCAGGAAAGAATATCCAATGGAAAAAAGACAGTCACTTTAACAAATGGTGTTGGGAAAACTGGAGAGCCACATGCAAAAGAGTGAAACTGGACCACTTTCTTTTTTTTTTTTCTTAAAAATTTTATCTATTTATTCATGAGAGACAGAGAGAGAGGCAGAGGGAGAAGCAGGCTCCCAAGGAGCAGAGAGCCCGATGCGGGACTCGATCCCAGGACCCTGGGATCATGACCTGAGCCGAAGGCAGACGCCTAACCATCTGAGCCCCCCAGGCGCCCTGGACCACTTTCTTATGCCATACACAAAAATAAACTAAAAGTGGATGAAAGACCTAAATGTGAGACAGGAAACCATAAAAATCCTACAGAAGAACAAAGGCAGAAACATCTTTGACAGTGACTGTAGCAACTTCTTACTAGATATGTCTTCTGAGGCAAGTGAAATGAAAGCAAAAATAAACTATTGGGATTTCATCAAGATAAAAAGCTTCTACACAGTGAAGGAAACAATCAACAAAAGTAAAAGGCAACCTACAGAATGGGAAAAGATATTTGTAAACGACATACCTGATAAAGGGTTGTTATCCAAAATATAAAGAACTTATGCA